AAAAAACATTGGACACCGAATTCTTAACTGTGCCACGTGTCCAAATGTAAAAATTTCGCGGGCTTTTGGATTGCATAAGTAATATAAGTCGCATTTGTTGTTTCATCAATCCAAGTCCAAAATACATTTTTTTTCTGAAAAGCTAAGAAAGAATGTGAATGGCTGTCGTTATTACAACACCACCCCCCTTTTTCTCCTTTCAAAACCCACATTATCCTCTCTCTCTCTCAGAATGGCGACACTACAATCGCTGGCTTTCTCTTCTCCCATCTCTCGTTGTTCCCAGCAGCCACGCTGTAAACCAGGTCTCTGTGTGTGTGTGTGTGTGTGTGTGCTGCATTTGGTTCGCTTCAATTTGGAGCGACATCTCGTGAGCTTGTATTGCAAGTATTGTTTGCGTAATTTGGAAAGTTGTCTTGGGAAGATAAAGGCTGTCTTATGAAATTTAGTTTAGCTGAATTATTTTAGTTTTCGTTTTTCTTGTTCATTTCTTTAAATTTTGCATCAAATTGTCCTTCACAGATCTTATGTATTCAAGGATGTGCTCCAGAACTTAGCAATGAAAGCAAAATTTAGTATCCTCTGAAAGTGTTCGATAATATGCGTGACCATTCATTAATCGTTATTCGTTGTTCGATACAGCCTTTTAAAAAATCCATAACCAAAGGAAATGCTTGTTAATCTGAGTAACAGGTTTTTTCTTTCTTGTACCGGTTCTGCTGGGATCGTAGTTTATTCGACATTGGATGTATTAAAGTAAATTCCAAGGGCTGAAGATTGAGATGTAAGCAAATAAATATCTGAAAGTTTATCTTTTCTTGGGTTAACTTTTAGGCTTCTCGATAGCAGGAGCCATTCACTCCAGCGGCACGAGTTCATCATTCAATGGCCAGTCCCTAACCCTCCCACGCCCATCACAACGCTCGAGAAAACAAAGTCAACCACACAAAAAGTCAACGCCACGTGTCGTAATGATGGTCAAACCCACGATCCAATTCATTCAGGGGATGGACGAGCAGACAGTTCCCGACGTGAGGTTGACCAAGTCAAGGGACGGGACAAATGGGATGGCCATCTTCTCTTTCACGGAGCCCTCGGTTTTCGACTCGTCCAGCGTGGTGGGTGACATCACAGGCTTCTACATGATCGATGAGGAAGGAGTTCTCCAGTCGGTCGATGTGAATGCAAAGTTCGTAAACGGGAAGCCAGCTGGCATCGAGGCTAAGTATGTTATGCGGACCCCACGCGAGTGGGACAGGTTCATGAGGTTCATGGAGCGTTACGCAAATGCTAACGGGCTGTCGTTCGTCAAGAAGTAACTTTGAGGTGGGTTTGGTATCTTTTTTCTTTTTTTTTTTTTAAAAAAAATATATTTCATTTTGGCATATTTTTATTCTGAGGCAATCTTTGTTGCTAATTGCTATAATGGTTTATGAAATGATCGAGAAGGTAAATTCGATTCGATTCTTGAGATATCTCGTGCTCTTGAAGGTTTTTCAGCTTTGCTTTCTTTTTTCTGTGTTTAGCATAACATGCCTGATGGAAGCTTCTTTAGTGGAAACCGATTATAGTAAATATTCTCGCAATGCACCGTGAAGTGTAATGTGTCATTTCACGTAGGAAAGGAAAAGGAGCACCAAGTCTGAAAACAATGTAGCGAGTAGAATTCTTTTATCGTGAGCCCCAAGTCTCGAATACCCACTTAAGAGACGATTGGGAAGGTGAATTTCATTTGATTCTTGATATACCTTCTCCCATATGAAGCTTTTTGGCTGTATAAATGTATCTGTGTCTTACAATGAACTTTAAAAGAAAGTTTCTGTAGCAAATTTATGCAGTAGACTAGGAAAACCAGCATATATTCTCAAAATGCATCATGAAATATCTCATTTCATAGTAGAAAAAATAAAGATGTGCTGAAAATCCAAAATACAAGATGATAAGGTAGAGTTCTTGTATGGAATCCTAAGTAGTCTGAAATCCTTAAATTGGAATTATTAGCTGACCCTATCAATTGATGGAATTAGTGCAATAACAGATTTCTCATTTTGTCGATGTCCATGTAACCGAAATCGGACTCCGGACCCTGTAAGAATCGGTTCTTTCCACCCACTCCAAGTGCCCTTGTCCGAACACCGTACTCTTTCTCCGCTGACCTTTCTTCGACATGAACCAAACTCTATAACTCAAAGTTTGATTTATACGCTTGAAAACCAAGCGTCTTGGTCTAACCCTCACGCTGACTCCCTCGGGCGCCTTCAATTCCAGCGAGTAAATGGAATTAGGCTTCCCAACGTTCGTCAAAACTCTCCTCTCCATCTTTTTTCTCTCTCCTTTTCTGAAAATCACCGAAAACGAGGGGTAGTTGAGGCTGAATCCTTTATTCTTCCTCAAAAGCTCCCGACAGCTCACGTTCCTGTGAGTAATGCTAAATATGTCCGATTTAGTGTATCTAAGCGTGCATAAGTGAGTTACGTGCTCCTCCGGACTAATATCGTACACCAATCCCGGATCAATAGCTCTCCCGGGGTCCACATGGCCTGCCCCGGTTGCAAAAAGCCCGGCGGGCTTATCACCGTCGAAAATCGGTTTTCCCGTTCGATCGGTTAAATAAGCCGTAGTCATAATTGCAGATTTTACTGCAGCCGGGGTCCACTTAGGGTTGGCGGAGCGTATCAAGGCCGCCACTCCACTCACGTGGGGACACGCCATGGATGTCCCGGACATGACCGTAAAGTTCACCCTTCTGGAATCTTCCGGAAGGCCGCTGGGGCCCAAGTTTTGAGGCCACGCAGCGATTATGTTGACACCCGGCGCGATCAAATCGGGCTTCAGGATCGACGGGTCCGTGAAGCTCGGGCCTCGAGACGAGAACTGGGCCACTTTAGGCGCCCTCGATCTCCCGATCACCGTCCCACCGAAAATTATCTGTGCCTTTGGCCTGCTTCGGCTCGAGTTCACGTACATTTTCAACCTGTATGACTCATCGAACCCTATCAACGTAGCTGGAAGGACATGAACGTCAACCGAGTCCTCCTCCAAGTTGATCTCGGTGTTGGCCAAAATCATGGCTGCCCCACCGGCTTCCTTCACGATCTGTCCCTTTTCGGCCCGCCCGTTCACCCCCCTGTCGCAAATGACCATTTTGCCCTCCACCTTCGACTTGGGTAGAGAACCCCGTAAGCAAAACTCGCTCCCTTTGTCTCCTCCCGTCAGGTAAGCCAGCTCGAGCTCCTTCCGGTTGGGCCCGAGTATTTTCCCAGGGTACATGGACTCTCCGTACAAATACTCCCCGTTGCCGAGCCGAACAACGGCCGGGAATTTGCGATCGAGCGTGCTCGCCCCTATAGTCGCTATCCACGGAGCCTCGTTCGCCACCGAGTTCTGAACCGGCCCGTTATTCCCGGCCGAGCACACGACTGATATCCCGTGCTCCACGGCCCGAAAACTCCCGATAGCTATCGTGTCTTCGTAAAGTGGCACCGGAAACCCGCCCAACGAGAGCGACAGCACGTCGACCCCGTCTTTAATAGCCGAGTCCATTGCCGCTAAAATATCCGAGCTGTAGCACCCACTGAACCAGCACACCTTGTAGACGGCTAAATGGGCCCCCGGCGCCATCCCTTGGGCCACTCCAGGCCCAAACCCGAGAACCCCTGCTGACTGGACAGGGGAGCCCGCTGCAGTGGAGGCCGTGTGGGTCCCGTGGCCGTGCGAGTCTCGAGGCGAATTGTACTCAGCCACGGCCTCGGGCGATGGCGCTGACGAGGCCACGCGGTGGCCCCGGCTGAAAAAACGGGCCCCGACGAGCTTCCGGTTGCAGCTTGATTTTTCGAAGCCCTGTCCAGCCTGGCATACGCCTCGCCACTTCTTGGGGACAGGTGGCATTCCGCGGTCGTCGAAGCTCGGGCTCTCGGGCCAGATGCCGGTGTCGAGGACGCCGATTATGGAGCCCCGGCCGAAGCCGGATTTGACCCAGGCCCCGTTTTGTTCAGTTGGGCTCAGGCCCAAGAACTTGTAGGAGTATGTGGTGTGGATTTGGAGATTCCGGTCGGGTTTGACTGATATGACGTGTTTGGAGGTTTTCAAAGTGTGGGCCTCGGGTGGGGTGAGTTGGGCCGCAAAGCCTTCGATGGCGGACTCGTAGGAGTAAATAAGGCGGGAAGAGGAGTGGTGTTTGTCGGGAGAGAGGGATTGGTCGAGTACGGAAAGGTGCCAGTGGTGTTTGGAGGGGAAATTTGAGCCGGAAAAAACGGCCGGGTTGAGCTGGACTATGTAGGTCTGTAGGTTTTGGGCTTGGGAGGAGAGAGAGTGTAGTAGGCTGAGGATTGTGAGTAGGAGTTGGGCTTTGTTGGGGCCCATTTTGATTTTGAGAGAGAATTTGAGGTTTTGTTGGAAAGTTGAATCGATGCATGTTGTTGTGTGATGGGGCGGTATTTGAAGAGGATTTTAGGACAAAGGTGTTCGTGTGAGGAGACAGAGGAAATGAAGAAGCTCGTGAAGTTTAAGGAGCTCTTATCCTCACGAGTTTCCAGAGAGAGAGATTGTGGTTTTATCTGCAGGAGCTTTTAGTGTGAGGAGTTTTCACGAGAAGTATTAATGGGTACTAAATTTAATGGGTACTATAAGTCTTTTTTGAAATGTTTGGTGATATAGAAAGAGTTATCCCCACAAATCCTTGTCAATAGGATATGCTTTCTTTCCATGTTGGTGTTTTTGATACATGGGATTTTCCTATGTTTGGTACATTCCTCAATATTTGTCTATTAACTAGCTACCACAAAATATAAAAAATGCCCTTTTATTTTTTTAGAGTAATCGGTAAAATTTATTTTCATCCTAGAGTGCAGGTAGTGTCAACTCAGGGTGTTTTAAATTCTAATAATCTGATCAACACACACATTGACATGTGTGAGTGTGTTATTTGATGAATAAAAAGTTGCAGTAATGCTAAGGAGCCAACTGTTGGCTCCGTTATGGAGCCAACAGCTAATGGGATAATTCCATGTGGGGCTGTCCCACATTGGCTGTTGGCTCCATAACGGAGCTAACAGTTGGCTCCTTAGCATTACTGTAAAAAGTTGTGATCTTACTGATAGGATCCAACTTCTTAATCTTAGATATAATCTTAAAAAATATGTCAAATTTGAATAGTATAAATAAATGTGGTGCAAAATTTCATATTGAAATGTGCAATGTAAGAAAAATGGCATTTATTAGTTTGCTCAGGCATGGCTCCTCATGGCACGTGCCGCTTGTGTTTTTACTGCCAGGAACAGCTACGCCTTTCCGTATTCATAATGTGCATTTGAAAAATGCACTTTTTTGTGGTTCAATTTTCAAATTGTTCATTGAGTATATGAAGGCTGTTTACCGTTACAATTGAAAGCACAAAAACTGGGCATAAGATTTTCTAGTAATGGGATTCAATTGGATAAATGATATATGATGATGTTATATTTATAAACATGTCATTATATAACTGACTGAAACATGAAAGTGGATCAAGAAATTTAATCAAAAGAAATTGCAGCATCTTGTATTATGGATCAGATTTGTAAATTTATTTTCATATTTCATACATCAGTTGAGTGAATTAGAAAATGGAATACACAATAAGTAAATAAAGTCCAAGATAGAGGTATNTATGGATTCTAATTACCTGAGATTGGAAATGTTCTCATTGATGAAAATAGTTTTAGTTGGTGAAAACAAATAGTGGAAGAATTAATAAATTTTAAATGTAAATTTATGTGATATAAAGAATAACAAATCAATGTGATGTGATTGATAAATAATAAAATACCGATTGCTAAATATATACATTCGAGTGGATGAAATAATAACTTTTATACGTATATATATGTAGTATTTTTTAATTTAAAAATTATATTGATAAAAAATGAGTGAAATAAATGAATAGTGTAATTTTTGATCGGTGGATAAAACAATGATTTTGAAAAATTTATCTAATTGCTAGCATTGACACGACCGGATCAACCCGATTTGACCCGATCATCATTTAACAAAAAAAAAAATCATTTTAAAGATAAAAATTATGTCTATATATTTATGTGATAAATACTTACTATGAGATGCAATATTGCTAACACTTTGGTGTATAAAATTTATTTGCAAAATATTTATTTTCGTTACTTTTTAGTTTTTATATATAATTACATAATAAAAATACTATATACATAATTTTAAATTTTTAAAATTAATTATTTGGTTTAACAATTGTCCAGACCGGTGACCCGAAAGACAAGTTTAAAAAGTTATAAAATATTTTCAATTTTTTGTGGACAAGTTGTATCCACAGACCGAACCGGCCCGCGACCGGGACCGGAAACGGGCACCGAACCGGCCCGTAACCGGCCATATAAGGGCCGGTCCGTTGGACCGAACCGCAAGGGTCGCGGTTCGGTCCAGGTTCATTTATTTATTTTTTTTGCATCGGCAGTTCCGGTCCGGGTCGGGCCGGTTCGCGGGCCGACCGCCGGCAACGGTGTTGTAATTTTTATTTTATTTTATTTTTTTTAATTTTTGGTCTGCCGGGTCGATGAACAGGCGGGTCCGGGCTCAGAACCGGTCCCGGACCGCCCCTTTGTCCGGTTCGGTACCGGGCCTCGGCCAGGCGGACCGTGGACCCGGCGGGCCGGGCACGGACCCGTTGACTGGCCACCTCTAGTCCCCTGGCTACTCTTTGTTTTAAATTCTGAAACTTATACAAATCCCTTAATTAATAAAATCAATATAAAATATACCATAAAGGAAAAAATATATCTATAAATCCAATTTTTATGATTTACAATTTGTTTCATTGATAAATAAGTTCAAAAAAATTCATGAATCAATTGGATTTTTATTAATCCAATTGTCTATTAAATATCTAATTTATTCTGACTGAAAAATTACATTTTTATGTATATTCCTTCACGAATTACAACATGCATACAGCACTGTGGATAAGAAAAAAAATGTAGCACCGATAATAATAATAATAATAATAATAATAATAATAATAATAATAATAATAATGATTTGTACGATCAAATATAAATATTTCGTCTATTTAATAATAATAATAATAATAATAATGATTTGTACGATCAAATATAAATATTTCGTCTATCTAATAATTTGTGCTGCTTTATTTAAATACATTTTCTGGCCGTAACAAATTGTCATTAACCCATAGATCCAAAAATTAGATACGCTTTTGATTTCTTCTTTCAACCATACACATTCACACGGAAACACATACAACACAAATCAAATATTAAAAAAAAATAATAATATAAAAAACCAAACAAGTTCTTATTACCGAAAAACATGATAATAAAATCAATCACACAACAAATAAGCAGAAAATGAGATTACCATCACCACAAACCCAACCAAAACCACCCAATAATCATAACTCTTATTCCTTCTCACCATATGAAACCCTCTATCTAATTGCAGCCCCTCCAAACAAAGCCTAACGCCAGGATCCCCAATTTTCACGTCACTATCAACCAAAATGGAGTTATTAATACCCTGAAAATCATTGTTTATGTAAATATTTATGCTGCAACTTCCCGGCGACTCGCCACCACCTTTGACCGCCATTGAAGCCCCAACATTCGACCCGAGAAGTGGGACATTTTCGAACGACCCACGGGTGATTCTTGGCTGTGTTGATCGGCTCATGGGTTTACACGAAGCAAAAGCGTTTGTTCGTTTAGGGTTTGAAATGTTTCTCCTCATGATTGGCATCTTGTTTTGTTTGTTTACTTTCTTGAGAGGAGTTTGATTTACTACTTATGAGTGGTGAATGAGAACAAGAAAGGTAGATATTCCATTGGAATGACTTCATCAGCACTCATTCAAAAATAACCTACCTGGCTGAAGGGGGGTTTTGAAACGCTGTGATAATTTTTTACATTTTGTTTAACGAAATTATATTTATTAAATTTGTTAAAATTTTAACCCGCTAGCTTTGTCCTAAAACCTCAACAGCTTATTTCGTCTTACACTGTTTGATTGTCTTAAACAGACTGAGCAAACACTCCAGTTAAAACGAGAATTACAGATGGAACGTCAATAGTTCCAAATTAGGAAACAAACTTAACATAATTATTGCCTTAAATTATCTGTTCGGGGAATTTACCATTTCTATGTGCACATATTTATCTACTAACATAATCAATCAGAATCGAAGGCGAGTACAAAAAGGAAGGAGAATCACCATTTTCGTCATTAACATTACAGAAACACTTCAAAGATTATAGGCAACAAAACAAACTTCTGATGCCTCTTTATACAACAAAACATGTTTTTTGTGTACCATACCTTTATTATCCGAAAGTCCCGATATAAACTGGGCATGACAAACAATCAACACAACTTAAAAATGTAAAAATTGCTCCAAGTTTCCAACACAACATTAGATGCATTTTTTGTCTTTTCAACACGCTGCAGAAAATGCAGGCAGAAAAAACTTACCTACCTCAGCTAATAGGATTCCAATTGTGTTGATTAAAGCTGAATAGGATCAAAACCATTGTTTTGATGTGAGTTTCTCACTAACTGTTGACCCATAATTTGGCCCTCCTTTCCGGTACTGAATAAGAAACTCAACTGGATATCCCTTCAGCTTGCGAGGCACAATACCAAGATCCTCAAATGATAAAGCTGGAAAACCATCATCAGTTAATGGTTTGCAAATGTATGCAAAGAGATGAGATTATGAAATAGTTAATTCCATTGAGATTTGAGAATAGTAGAATAATAATTATAAATTATTATAATAAAATATGAAAGATGATATGAAGATAGTAGAATAATAATTAAAAAAATATAATAAAAAATGTGTGAAATAGGTAAATAGTGAATTCCATTGAGAATTGTGTAGTAGTTATGGTTTTTTTCTTCAATCTTGTGTAGATCGATCGATGAGTGAATAGTGTAATTTTCTTTAATATAATTTTTGCTACAAATCAGAATTTTGGGATAATTTATTTCTGTAGTTGAATGAAAATGCAGATTTCATAACCAATAGCAGCGACTTTCTCCAAGTGACCAAATTTTAATCACTGGCCTTATTGTATTCATAAATCTATGTTACCCACCATCTTCAGATACCAATGTGTCGACTGAAAGGGCTTCAATCTGGTCCAGGTTGAATATGGTTGGGGTAGGCATTGGGAATGGAACTTTCTTGAGAAATAATTCTCGTGGTGTGGCAATAGCCTGAAATGGAACATGAAAGAAGCATAATGAGATTAGCGTCAGTCACATAAGAATACCTGAAATGATGTTCACATAATGCAGACAAAACGACTTTGTGTTCACCATAAGCAAAGATCCTTGGTTCTAAAATCAAAAGCGATGAAGTGAAAAATAAGGAAATAAATATATAAAAAGAATAAAAATATCATAAATAATGGTGGGAAGGATTGAGTGGTGAAATGCCTAATGCACACCTCATATGACTGCATGAGAAACCTAAAACAAATTTAGGTCAAAGTTTGAATACCAATTTGTCAGCTAGAATAAAGAAGCATGGGAACAACTATGGGCAATTAATACCCAGTCTACCCCAAGGAAGAGATGCATGGTAGATATATTGGACGGTGAATCTTTATTGTCTTTTGTTACAGAATGCAAATACTAAGCAAACGATATAGTGTTAGTGATCCTTTTTTTTTTTTTTTGGTTAGGGATGCAGGGTTTGGGAATGATGCATGTTAGCGAGCTGTAAAGACTTACATAATTACCACATAAAATATACAAGAAACAAGGAAGAGCAGGATTGAAGACTTGCCTTGGCAATAGGCAAAGGAATCTTCACATAGCGAGGCCACTCACGAATTGTGTCGTACATAAGTTCTGCCTATAACTCGGTAAAAATTCAATTCTTATTGCTTGAAAAACGACGTAAAACAAATTTTGCATGATTCTTTTTGTTCTAGGTGGAAAATCACAGTACAATGATATACCAGTTCGTGCATGGTGTAAACATCCGGACCACCAAGTTCATAAACTTTCCCCATACTAGTACCGTCATCTTTTAAGGCTGCAATAATTGCTGATGCAACATCAACAACGTACACGGGCTGAAACCTGAAGAGGCGTGATAATTACACGTTCAAACATGATTTGATAAACCATGGGCATGACCGTATCTAAACAGTATGAAGCATACTTTGTCGATCCATCTCCTATGAGTGGGAGAAAACTGTACTTCTTTGCGAAATGTGCCCATGGGTTCAATATCCGATCCTCTGTGCCAATCATCACAGCAGGTCTCATAACTGTGGCCTGATAACAAATAGGCAGATTAGTCGGATCAGTTAAGAAGACCGTGTGCCAGGGCCACAAGGTGCACCTTAAATGCACCTCCCTTAACAAAAACACAATCATGCATAAGATACTAAGTGGACAAGGATAAATTACAAATGATAAACACATAATGGTTCTGTTCAAAACTTTGAGGAACCAAGTGATATCTTAGACAATAAAATAGTCATAGCAACTTATAAGAAAACTAAGCCTGAGAATGTTGCCTCCTGGAAAGAAAAGGTCAGTCAATGTATTCATGTTGCTCGTCTTCAAACAGATCAACTGGAGAAGGGAACCAGGAAAAATTATCCAGGGGCTGCAACTTTAACACAACATAGCATATTTTCAAAAGCTTGAAATGGAGGTCAAAGGTAACATCATGTTACAGGTGTATAGTTTCGCACTCCATACTTCAATCCAGCAATTACTAACAATTTAAAACTGAAGTCAAAATGAATAATTATCATATGGGCACAAATTAAAACTGATAAGAAGAATAGATATCATAAACCAGCAGAACCTGGCACTGAAGATAACAAGTAAAAGAAGAAGGTTCCATGTGAGCAAAGGAAATCAAAGGGTTAATGAACAATTTACCTCAGGCAGTTCTCTCAGGACAGCTTCTTCGGCAGCTGCTTTAGTTCGGAGCAACCTGGACTTAGATGATGACGAAGCACCCAAGCAAGAAACTTGAATGTACCTCATGATGCCACCATGTTCTTTGGCAATCTGCATATACAAGATGCATTTACCACGACATTAAATCAATCTACAAGAGATATCAAAAGGACAAGAGGAAACCTAACTGATTTTACATGATAAAGAATAATAAAGATCTATACACACATACAATCAACAGTCACAGACAAGATTTTCATGTACCGACTGAATGAATTCAATGTTGAGACGCAACTAACACAAATTACTTCTCACATTAAATAGTTGGGATGGTATGACTAAAGCCAACAATCCAAACCACAACAACCAGTAAAACTACTTCTAATTGCCATCCCTTCTCTTATTTAGTTTAACCACCAAACTTCTAAGCATTCCCCTCGCCCTTAGCTCCTTGATCCTAAAACCAAGAAAACCACCATAGTCCAAGCTAGTACGTTGCTCCCATTTGATTGAAACAATAATAAGATCCTCTAGCATCTCAATTCTAGCATTTAGGCCTTCCGATATGATCTATCGATGCTACTTATATATTTACAGATGATGGGACTCAAAGATTTGCGCATGAACATATCACGAGTTGGTCAGAGATAAAGTAGGAAGAAGCTAATCGATATTGAGTGATAAAGAATATTAGGTTCATCATTTGTAACATAAGATAAATGCATAATTGGCCTAATTCATGAAGTTCGTAAAGGTGACACCATTCTAATATTCAATTTTTTATTATTATTTGTATGATGGGCGCCGATGAGCTTTTATCTCCTCTTGAAGAAGATGGTCCATACATACCCAATCGCCTGAATTTAAGATGAGAAGCAATTCTCCATTGGTAGCAAATGAAATGGTGAAAATGAAAGTTGCTAACTATCAAAGAAAAAATCTTTTTTTGGTTTACACCCCCTATCTCAAGTTTTAGATCGAACTAATCCATTGACACAAATAGTAATAATTAAAGTAGAGCCCATTTGGGGATAGATAATAGATTGAAATCTCATGGTATGGACACATTCAAATGTTATCCTCCCTGTAGAACACTAAGAACGAATACCTTTCGACTGTTCTACAAAATGACCATGAAATTCAAGTAACAATTCAATAATGATCAAAGAAAAGTGGAAAAATAGAAGAACAGAAACATACAACTGCCAGCTGTTCAGCAATGTGATGGTTCACTTCTTCAAAACTGTAATTTCTGGTCTCGTATTCCCTTCCTGTTTCATGAGTCAGGCCATGTGTGCTTAAAGTAATTGAGGACACAAAATGCCTATAATTGCCAAGTGATAATTACACCTAACCTATAAGATTAATAACAACATTGGCCTTTGCCATCACTGCCTTGACTGAATCTTCATCTCTAGGATTGTATTTCATAGGAACAATCTGCAGGTTGACAAAGTATACATTACAAATCATATGTCTAAAGAGAGTAAAAGATTTATCTACGTTTAAAAGAAGTCTATTCAATAGTTCACCTGACCCAAATCACCCATCAACTTAAGGTGACGAGGAGAATCTTCAGAGCCTCGAAATGGGACCAACACTTGAGAACCCATTTTTGCTACATGTAGAAAAGAAATGCAAACACACAAATTAAAGGCAACAATCAAATCTATAATATATCCACAGCTCAAGGATCACGCCACCAACCAAGTTGCTGCACTAGGTAACGTCCCAGAAACCCTGTGGCCCCAAATACTGTTGCGACAATGCCACTGCCAGACAAAGCACCATTATCAGCGTCAACTCAAATTAAAACATCCAGAATTCAGAAATGCAAGCAAATCAAACTTCAGAAATCCAACGAAAACTGAAAAGGCTGGGATCTAATCTAAAGCAAAACCTTATTGCCATCAAATCACAGCAAAAATACAATTATAATAAAAAATAAATCTACGAATAATTAATTGAAACTTTCTGAAGCAGGCAATCCATGCGAAAGGCCAAATTAGGGCTTCGATTATGAAATTTACCTAACCGATGATCTGCCACCAGTGCCCTTACGAACTAAATGCCCCACTCCTTTGGTGGCAAGAGTCGAAGCCATCCTCGGATTCTCCGCACCATAATCTGAACAGAACAAATTACATTTCAAAAACCATAATACAAAAGCATTTCAATCCATAAATGCGGGTAATTAGCTCCAGAAAATTTTGAGAAATCAATTACACTGACCGCTTAGGGGGTAAAACGATTTCAAAGAAGAAAGCGGGGCGGCGGAGTGCTGAATGTGATGGTGCGCCAATCGCCTGTAAACAGTCTGCATCGTTGCTTTCTCGGCGGAGCTCAGGGAGGAGATAGAGAGAAACTGGGAATACTGTGAGGAAAAATACAGACGTGAAAACGGAGATTTAGATAGCACGACTCAGTGCACCGGCATTTAACGCTTTAGCTAGATAAATTAAAATGGAAAAGAAAAAATAGATTTTGGCTATCTCGTTGAATTGTGTAACAAACATATTTCTTGGAACTAAAAATTATTGTTATTTTATTAAAAAAATTTTATGAAAATTATTTCTAATGAAAACTTAATTTAAATGTAATACTACAATATATGTGGAAAAATATAATTTCAATAAAACTTAATTTCAAGTTCCAACAAAATATTGTAGTATTATTATTTATTGGAAAGTTACAAAGTTGTAGAATACATCTGAAATTTTCATTTGGATGTTTTATCATTGTATTTTTTTTTTTATTGAAAAATAACATTTTGTTATATGTATGTGTGGTAAGCTTGATATTTTTATGAACATAATATATTTTGATTAAACAAATCTGTTTACAGCCAATTACTGCATTTTAAAGTAAGATCACAAATTTTGTTGTTGGATTGGTTAATGGTTATATAGTAATATTTTTTTAACAAATATACCTAATTTTTGAAATGTTACATTTTTATTTATATTTTTTAAAAACATAAATTTGAGTGTGAAAGTATGTAAATTAATTGAAAAATATAGATGTCTACCTATTTGTTAACAAAAGAATTACTGATGTGCAATACAATACAATATTATCAGTCTGGTTATCCATTAGGGTACGAATAATTAACCAAATTAACTTTCATCAATGATTAATAGAGAACACAAAGCCATAATCTAGCCATTTTTAAGTGACTACATAATCAAAAACTCTTGTTTTGATAACTGTGATTGCTAATGTAGACATAATTGCCAACCCTATGGACATTTTATATGATCCATATCCTATTTTGATGAATATATGCACTTGAATATCTTTCCTAAAATGGATGTCCCACATAGAAAACACACTACAAAAGTATTATCAACTCAAAAGGAACCTATTTTATTGCACATTGTAAGATTACAAAATTGCTGCCTCCTCATCAATTCGTACCTAAGCTCATTATTCTACCAAAAGTTTTTTTTTTCTTTTTTCTTTTTTTTTTCTTATTCCCAATATGATAGAGTCAAGCTGAACACAGCCGATTATCGACATTTCATTCTCGGGATTTCACAACCATTAAAATGAGAAGCGAGTCAAAAATCGGAAATGGCATTTGAACGCGATGAGTACTCAGATACGAGCCTGAGGAACATGGAGGACTTGTCCTCTATTAGCCGTGCTGGTGAATCAAACTCCGCCACACGACCTGCAAAAAACATCACAAAGAAGACACGTCAGATTTCAGAAAAAAGCGTTATGTTGAAGGAAATTCTAATATGCTACTTTGAGCTACTTACAGAGAACTATACATGAAATTCAATTTAATTGATAGACAAGCACACATTTGCTTCAAAAAGGTAGTTTTTGTAAGTATCCCTTCTAAATATCTCAATCCTAGATTTTCTCAAGCCAATAACACATAGCTTCAGGTTGAATAACTTGGAAAAAAAAAAAAAAAAATCACCATCACTGAGGACCAAAACCAGGTCACTATCGATGACAGTAGGTATACGATGAGCAATCGTACAAACAGTGCAATCCTTAAACTCTGATCTTATAATCTTCTGGATGAGATTGTCTGTGGCTGAGTCCACCGAGGCTGTGGCCTCATCAAGCACAAGAATTCTCGCCTGCTTAAGCAAAGCCCGCCCGAGAGAAACCAGCTGCCTTTGGCCCACGCTCCAGTTATCTCCACTTTCTAGAACTTTAAAAATCAGCATAAAACAAATAATTTGTGGTTAGTTAGTCCTCTTTTGGGGGCTTTCCCATTTGCCATGTTAGAAGCTTGTTTTTCAGACAAAAGTATGTGAATTTGGTTTTACCTGGCGTGTCGAGCTTGTGTTCTTTCTGTCGGATTATTTCCCCTAGCTGTGCCTTGTCAAGTGCCTGAAACATTTCATAGATAATATGAACATCATTTAGGAAATATAAAAGAGTAACTTGAGACTTAAGGTTAGTTACAAAAAGTTAAAATATCGTGTATTCTTCCGGAATTACATAAAAAAATTAAGGCAAAAATGCATTTAGTCCTATTGGTTTAATGTCATAGCAATTTTAGTCACAAGATTCCAACTTTTCGCCTTTCGGTCACGTGATTTAATATTTTGCTGCAATTTCATCCTTTGAAGACTGAAATTGCAACAAAATCTTAAATTATAGGATTGAAATTGCAATAAAAATTTAAGTTTCTTCTTCATTACATTATCCATTAAATAATCCAAAGTAGGGAAACAAAAACGAGTTTTGCTAATTGCAATAAAAATTTAAGTTACATGACTTAAATTGCTAATTGAAAATCTGTGAATATGGAAATTTGTTGCAATTTCAGTCCTGAAATTGCAGCAAAATATTAAATCACAAGACCAAAAAGTGAAACATTGGAACCATGGGACTAAAACTGCTATGGCGTTAAACCAGCAGGACTAAAACTACAATTTTGCCAAAAATCAATGCATGCTTACAGAGAGGAAGAGAGTCTTTACCTGCCAAATTTCTTGATCCGAATGCTCTTCAAGTGGGTCTAGATTTCCTCTGATAGTTCCATCAAATAGTGCCGGATCTTGAGGAATGATACTCAACCGATTACGAAGGTCATGAAGACCGATTGTTGCAATATTGATATTATCTATAATTATTCTGCCACCTGATGGCTCAATCAATCGAAACAAGGCCTGAATCAAGGTCGATTTACCACTCCCAGTTCTTCCAACAATTCCAATTTTGTCCCCACCAGGGAATTTACACGAGACGCCATGTAGCACAACAGGAAGGCTCTCCTTGTAACGAACCTATAAGCCAAAATAAATAATCCAAAATGTTTGTTATTTTACTTTCAATTCTAAATGCTATGAAGAACAAAGTAAATGAAATATTTAAAAAAAAAAAAAATGACCTTTAAGTCAATTAATTCGATTGTGCCGTTCTCAGGCCATGAGGTTGGGGGACGAGAATCGTCAATAAGTGCTGGTGCTTCACTTGGTATTTGGCAGTATTGATGGATCCTTTCTATCGAGATTATTTTGTTTTCAAGTTTGCAAAAGCTAAGTATCCATCGTGACAGGCGAGCGTTCATATTCAGACCATATGTCACAGCAAGCCCTGCCATACCTGAAGAAGAAATTCTTAAAATTTTATTTCACATGAAATTACTAATTTGAGATAAATGTGAACCTGAAAAAGTCAATATGCATGCATTTACATTTCAAGAAGAGTGGTTTTTTTGCTTACTTGGGTCAATAGCTCCCCTAGGAAAGCTTACAAGTAAGACCATGCAAAAAGCAAAAACAAACGTTGAAAGCAACTCCATGCGCAGACAAAGCCATTCGATAGCTGCCAGACTGCAAAAGAATGGACGAGCAAAGGAATCAAGGAGATGAAGATTCCTCTTCATGAATCTCTTTTCCTGCCCGAAACCTCTAATTGTAGCTGCCCCGCTAATTGATTCAGCAAAGAGGTTAATTATCGGTGATTTCTGAATGCTCACAATCCGGACTAGTTCTCTGGATGAAGCCATATAATATTTCTGCATTTTGTAAGGACTAAAATGTAATTTCAAGTTGTTTCCCGGTAACGGTCACTAAGACTGTCGTACAAAAAGAATTGCTTAATTACAGAAGATACCCCAAACATTTACACCTTAATTACAAATGCAAAAAAGAAACATAAAGCAAAGAAAGGAAAATGCAGTTTTCTTTTCAAAATTACAAATGGCTCATTCGTTTTTGTGTTGACCACAAAAGTGCACCCACATGAGGGTTGTTCGATGGGATAGAATTTTTTTCGGAATAAAAAATCATAAATGGTCTTCTCAAAAATTCGACAAAACATCAGGGGCAGTTTTGTGACTAAACGTCTAAACATTAATAATAAATCAAAGGCATGCATTCAGACGACTACCTCATTTGCAGGTAAATACCCAAAAATAAAGAAATATTAATTTGCATGACATAATTGATTTACCTGCATCCACAAGCAAGCAATTGCCATTGGAATAACTAGTAGCAATATCTGCCACGTAACTTGCGTCATCACACCAATAATGCCGAGTAGTTGGATTGTTGTCGAAGCAAATCCACCAAGCCTGAAGGGAATATCAAGATCAACAACACTTTGATCAACAGACACCTGCCAATCAGAAAACACCATTATAAGAACAAAAGTACCGATCACGAGACTCCNAAAAAAAAAAAAAATCCAATTAAATAAATTAAAAAGAGAGGAAGCTGTATATGAGTTTACACGATTCAATATTCGTCCAGCTGGCGTAGAGTCGAAAAAAGACATCGGTGCCCGAAAAATCGATCTGAGCATTTTCACGAAAAGCTTCTGTGAGGCCTCGAGACCAAATGCAGCAACTAGAATGGCCCTCACGAATATAAACCACGAGCTCCCAAAAGCAAGTGCCATATAAACTAGGATAAGCACAATGCTGCTCGTCTTAGGTTCGTCCCCAGCCGTCTGTGGGCTTGCCCAGGCCATCCACCAGCTGCTCGCTATCTGAAGGACTTGAAACAATGTCTGGGCAAGAACAATCAAAGGAATCAAACAGCCCTTATAAGCAGCTGCCATATAAGACAAGTACACTTTCATGCTGACTCGCCCTCTCACGCGTTCTTCCTCCTGCACGAGCTGTTTTTTTCTCGAGCGTTTAGTTTTTTTCTTTTTCTCTTTAATTGCTTTTAAGCCCGAGGACGACACGCCTTCGTGGGCCCCGGAAGCCATAACGGACATGTTGTTGCCGACAGAGTCGAATTTTTTGCTCATGAGAACGGATCTATCGAGAGGGTCGGTTTTGTCCGATTCTTCGGAAGTTGGGTTGCAGAAGTCCATGGCTTCGATGGCTTCGTGATGTGCGGAGACTAATGTGTTGAAATCCGTGCCTGCTTGGAGAAGCTCGTCGTATTTTCCGGCTTGAATTATACGGCCTTCCTTCAGGACCTGTGAGAGGGTACAAAGGACATGCTGGAATTAATTATAATTCAATTGAAAATGAGATGACTATCTTATATATCCTAGATTTTAGAAACCTGAAAATGCTGATTTTTAATGAGCTCATCAAACATTCTCATTCATGCTAATTGTAAGGATTTCATGGCTGGTGTTTCATTTTAACAAAACTCTTGAGTGACTTTTAAACATTAGGCAAAAGTGCAACTGGTATATGTACATAAACAAATGTGTGATTTATGTTTTCGTAGTAGATAGTGAGTACATATATAGTACTCAGCTTAGATCAACAACACTAGGCAAAAAATTAAAGTTAATACCAAGAATTGCAATAGTGGCATAGTGCCAAGAAAACAATACCAGAATCAAGTCAGCAGCAGGCAGAAATTCAACTTGATGAGTGACAAAAACAACAGTTTTCGAAGCTAATGCTGTCAGTATGTACTCCTGCGTTCCCACAAAAAACAACTTTCAGCTCAGATTCAATTTGCTTGAAGAAATAACAATAAAGAATAAAAATAAAAACAATTCAATTATGTCCGACCCTAAATAATTCAGAACCCGTGTAAGCATCAACAGCACTAAATGGATCGTCAAGTAAATAAATGTCAGCGTCTTGATAAAGTGCCCTGGCAAGCTGCAGTCTTTGCTTCTGACCGCCACTGAGGTTTATACCTCTATCACCAATAATGGTTTGATCGCCATGCGAGAATAGCTCCAAGTCCTTCTTCAATGAACAGGCATGAATAACAGCCTTGTACTTTGCCTTATCCATTGGACTACCAAAAAGGACATTTTCTTCTATGCTTCCTGATTGGATCCAAGCAGACTGAGAGACGTACGCTGCAGAGCCACATATTCTGACCTGAGTTACACAACCAAAAGGTTACAAACAAGATTCATCAGCAAATATTTTTGGGTGGTAATAATTACAAAAAGTAATTTGTTGTTGTTAATAATTACAAAAAATTTCAGAGGTTTCTAAAAGTTATCACAGAGAATGGCTTCATTTGCATTCAACTTTACGCCCTTCATAAGCAAAATCATTTCAAACATCACCTTATGTTTGTAATCTAGTTTTGATCTTTAGGGATAGTAATCTAAATCCATCCAAATTACTTTTTAAAAAAAAAAAATTGCAATAATCATTTAAGTAAAAGACAAAAGAAAATGAAAATAAAGGATAAAAAAAGCTGACATCCATAAAAGTAGACTGACTTCACCGGATATTTTCGGAAGCTCACCAAGAATGCAAGAAAGGAAGCTCGATTTAAAAGACAAAAGAAAACGTAAATAACGTATAAAAGCTGACATCCATAAAAGTATATAGACTTACATCACCGGATATTTTCGGAATCTCACCAAGAATGCAAGAAAGGAAGCTCGATTTTCCAGAACCAACCACTCCACACACGGCCACGCGCATTCCCTTCCCAACCTCGATCTCCACATTCGAAAGCGTTGCTTCAGACGAGCCCCTATACCAAGAGAAGTTCCCATTTCTTATCTCTATCGCCACATCCAAACAGTAGTCCCGTGGCAATTTGACGACAGCTTCCTCCGGCAGTTCCTCCTCCAGTAGGAACCCCGCAATTCTGTCCAGTGACACTTTAGTCTGCGCCATCATCGACACCAGGTCAGGAAAATTCCTAAGCGGCTCCTGAAGAATCCGGAAAGTCGCCAGTGCCGAAAGAACTCCGCCAGCTGTGAGCTGCCCACCCAACAGAACACAAGTCGCGAAAGTCACTGCCGACACAAAAATCGGCGAGCTCCAGAATATGAAAGTGATAAACGCCTGCGAATAAAGCGCTTTCCGTAAATACTTGAATTCCACTCCGCGCATTTCTTCGAGCTTCGCTCTGTACCTATCCTCCCATGCTTGCAGTTTCAAAATCCTCATATTCCTCAAACACTCGGAAGTCTTTCTCATTCTGTCATCTTTTGCTGCCATTAATTTATCCTGATAATGCTCCTGAATTCTCGCGATGGGTACAGTTGCGACTATCGAGATAATAGTGGCAATAAGTGTAGCAACAGATGCAATCCCGACATTCTTGTACAAAATGGCGAGCGCGAGTACAATCTGCATGGGAAGCATCCATATGTCGTGTAGGTACCAAGAATAGTCTCCCACTCTCTGAACATCAACAGCCATGTAATTCACAATTTCGCCACTCGTGTGGCTTTGCCTAGCCGAGCTTGAGAGCCTCAGCCCTTTCTTATATACCATTGCAGTTAGAGCTGAACGAACGTGCATGCCTAAGATATCGACTCCCAAGTACCACTGGCGAGTAGTGAAGGTCTCGACTAGCTTTGCCATGAAGAAAATCCCGGCTAGAATGTAGCCTTCATGTGGAGAAGCCTCCTTTCCGCTTAAATAGTCGACAAAGTAGCTGATCATGTACGGGCCCACGTACGAGACCAAAGTGTTCACCCCAGCAAATACAGCATTGCAGGCAGCTTCTCTCTGAAAAGACTTGAGAATAGCCCAAGCGAGAGAAGGCTGTTTTCTCGAGCTCTCGGATTTTAATTTCTCCCAATTCGAGTTCAGTACCTTGAAATTCGTTTTCGAACGGTCTTTTTGTGCTAGCAATGGGATATCCTTGAGCTCGAGCGGCCTTTTTGCCCCTATCGAGAGGAGTGGGTTCAGCCATGAAAGAGTGATTAAATTGAAGAGGCCGGCTTCGTTATAAGGAGTGATCTTAAGAGAATCTGAGTCTTCTTCAACTAGCAATGGCTCTTGAATTTCGGGGTTTCTGTTAACTCGAATGCCCGTAACACCCTTAGTAGCAATAGAAAACAGAAATGCAAATGGTGGGGACACGAGAAAATTTGCCAGGACATGAGAATTCAAGTGACTCGATCCTTCATCCACGAGCCCTTTAACATCAACATACAAAGTACAGAGACAGATCAGAAAGGAGGTGGCCCACCAGATTATTACGAGCAGAGGAAGCTTCTCAAGAGCCTTATACTTGCAGTAAAGAAGCGAAAAGCTAAGCACGAACCAGGATAAACTAAGAGCCCCGGGTAAAAGTAAAACCGTCCAATCTGACTTTCTTCCCTCCTTTGGTGCAGCCACCCGAATTAGACTAACACCATCAAGACCCAGTATACAAACATACACAAATAAGACATAAAAGCAGCAGAAGATGGAAGCTGTGTAACTTTTACCAACCACTATGCTCTGACTTTGATCGCTATCAAGAATTCCACTATGCCTGACGGCTGCGGAATCACGGGACAAATTATCCTTCCGAATATGAATACGACCAAAACACAACCTAATCTGCCTTGCAGATACAATGAAGATGAACACAAGAAATAGAGTTAAATTTATGCAAATTGAGGCTAATTCCAATACTGGCACCGTTTTGAAGGGGCCCGATAAACCGTTTGGAACTTGAGGCGCAGTTTTGTAAGTGGGCAAGAAAATATCAATACCCATTACAGCTCTTACAAATATCTGTCTTGAAACCAAGAAAATAACAACAATCAGTGGCCAAGAGCTGAACAACAACGGGACGCAATAGTATGATGGGGGATGAGAGGTCAAACAGTGCGAAAGGGCATTTCAACATCTAACGGTGGGAATTGTGCTCAACGTGTGTACCTGGCGACGAGTCACGAAAGGGGGAAATGAAAAATTATCTGCACATTATAAAAAACAAAATCATTTCTATCACATTAAAGATGTATAGAGAGGGAACAAACTGAAAAGAGAGAATCACACATTAACAATCACGTTCAAACACTTCTATTTTCTCTCTTTTTCAAAGAACCCTTTTTCAATTAATTACTTTTCGTTCATACTATGGGCAAAAGTAGTGGGTAAGAAATTGAAGTGAGCCAAACCCATTATAGAACACAGCGAAAGCTCACCAGGGATTGTCTCAATTTACTCGAAAAATGCCATTCGTGATCATCGAGGCAAAAATTTGTCCCTACACACTCACAAAAGAAAAGGTCTTTCAAAGAGAGAGAGAAGATACTTCTGCAGACTGGTTCAGAGAGAGATGGCAGGCACCAACGACATACAGCACAGCTGTTAGTAGCACTTAGTGAAGCTGCTGCTGGTAGGATTTTGGTAATGGAGATTATAGAGATGACACAGAGTAAAGCAGCATATATTTATAAAATTCATTTTCATATTTCTATTCTAAGTTCCAAGTAACATACCGAAGTGAAGGTACAGATTTTTATGCAGAAGAAAAGGCAGAATTTTTTTTCAATTATAACAAAGTTAGTGTGCTGGGTTTTGGTATATTCCTTATCTATCGGGTTAAAATAACAAATTTTTAGGCATTCTATTTTTATTTATCACAATTGAGGAATAATAAATCTATAGATGGTATTACTCTAATTTTTATACATGCATGTATCTTGGGCGTAACGNGAAAATGAGATAAATTCGAGATTATGGATGTACGGAGCTTTTTGGGGATAGAGGATTCACAAAAAAACTTTTTACTTGGAACTTTTTAATTTGTATTATTTATTTTAAAATCTATATTGGTTTATGGTGCTAATAAATAACAATATGTCATCCATATGATTAATTTATCTAGAAAAATGTAAAATTCATAACTTTTTCATCAAGTTTTAGGAAATTTAAAGAAAAAAATAATATATTTATAAATTACCAACTAAAGAATATTAAATGCTTTAATATAATATTATTAAAAGAATACACCCTAAATAATAAAATATCTTTATTGGTCATTTTGTAATGTCAAACAGCTATAAGCTTTCAACTATTTACCAAACACTTATTTAAAAACCGCTAATGCAATCTGCTAGTCAAATCAGCTAATATAATCCGCTATCCGCTATCCGCTGATACAATCTGCTATCCGCTATCCGCTATCCGCTGATCGCCAAACAAGGCCTCTAATGAGCTTTTCTAAATTAGAGTTTTGGGCCCAAAAAGCTTATCAAATAAGTTATTTACCAAACAGACTCAATAGCGGATTTGACGGGTCAAACCTCTCAATTAAGTCCAATCCGCTAATTTACCTTCAATCCGCTATCTACCAAACAGGGCCCATATAAAAATATAATAATTAAAATTAATACATGATTTAAAAATAATATAATATTGATCGGTAATAATTTGTAGTTAGGAATATGTGAGTTAATGAACAATATTTTTCGTTTGAAAATATATAATAATATTTAATTATCATTTTTAAAATGTCTTAATGAGATTGTAGTAAAAACAAAAGGTAAAATTAAATTAATAGAATTTTCTGTTTTAATTCACATATGGATAAGCTAAATTGAAAGGTTGAATTTGATAAATAGTTGGTAAGTATCTTAAAGTAAAATTAATCTTACGAATTCAAATAGTGTTGTGCTATGACACGTATTTAGTATTTACACACATCCATTCAGGTGTGTGTTAGTATGATTACTGAGAATCCGACATGGATAGAGTAAAATCTATTTTACTCTACCTTAGTTCAAAATTACATAAAATGCTTGGTGTGCTGATATTACATTTGAAATTTAACTCTAATATCACATTTTAAGAGGTGGGAGTAAAGAAAAACATCTACTTACCACCAAGGCACCAACTTATCCATATTTATTTTCATTTTCAACCCGCATATGCTTTTAATAATTATAAAGTATATAAACGAAAGAGAGAAAATTTGAAAAATGCATAAATATTTATGTTCTGCAAACGAGTCACCGAACCGAGTTTCAGCTCTTGCATTTGAGTTTAGGTTCGAAACCTCTACTGAGTTGGGCTCTTAATTAAAGATTTGATAAATGAATTCGAGTTTTGTTCGTCTATTAGTACAAACAAGGTCAGTTCAAGCTTTAATGAGTAAACTATTAAAAATTATATTTTTAAATTTTAACTAGTCGGATTTAATTTGACTCTTCGACTAAGCAATTTTAGACAAAGTCGATTTTAGCTCGTTTGAGTTCGACTTACAAGCGATTCATTTTGTTTAACATATTCTTTCAATAAATATACAAATAATATAAAATAGTTATATATCATTATTATGTATAGTTAAGGTTTGACTTAAGACATTTTTGTCGGTCGTAGATCTCATTAATGAGATGTATGTACAATTGTATGATGTTTGGCTGGACAACATTATATATGTATTATCTGGGGAAATAATTATGTTTAAGCAAGCATTTTTTGTTTTTGGAATAAGTAATTGTACGACGTGTTGGCTGGACAACATTACATATATATTATCTGTTAAATAATTATCTTTAAGCATGCATTTTTTGTTTTCGGAAATAAGTAGTAGCTTTTGGCCGTTATAACTAGCTTAAGAACATTTTCTTTTTTTTTTTGGTACAAAGCTTAAGAACATTTTCAATTATGCTTTTCTTAGATGAGTTAATTTAGTTGGATAATTGTCTGGTGGAATTAATTGGATATACTATTCATTTATTAATCAAATAATAAACCACTATATTGGCAATTTCTATTATATAGTATCATATTCATATATATATATATATAAAGAGGAGTAACAAAACATTTAATTTTATTACCATGCATTAAATTTTATTCTCCCTCCAAAATTTTCAGCATTCACTTTCATTTTTAAGTTACAAAATAACTTGTTTGAATGCAATAAATAATGATCATAAACCAATCAAAGGAGTTATAAAATTGTACTCAAATTTTAAGTCACACACACTCATGAAAATGGCCGAGTATTAGCATAAAAAAAATGGTGAAAATGGTTGTAACGGCTCTTCTATAGCGATTACTTGATCAAAATCAATTTTGAGAATTATATTTTTATGTTTTTAAAGTATTCGTTTATGTGCAAATGCATATGTTAGATTACTAGTTGTACTTAAAGACTAAATCAAAAGTGATAAGGTTGAAAACTCTACTTCATTATCTTAAGTAAAATAAAAAATAATTATTTAGATCAACGTAAAAAAACATGATATTTATAAATGCCATTATATTTTTTTTTTTCTTTTATAAAAATACAATGAATTGACACTGTGACATTAACACATAGCACGTGGTTGGCCCGCTGTCACACACACAGTCCTCCTCCACCGATATGGACTTCCGGAATGATAATGGGCTAATTTATTGTTTGGATTATACTGGGCCATGGCTCATAATAAATTCATCTTGGTGATAATGTTTAGTGTTAATGTATGCGTAAATTAAAATAGTCATATATAGAATGATTTTTTTTTTTTTTAACAAATGTGAGCCTTTTTAAAAAAGTTTAACTTTTAAACTAAGAAATGCATATTTATTGTAATTTTACGAATTATCTATTGTTTATGTTTCTATAGTTTATAATAAATTTATATTACCATATTTCTTTGACATGACTAAAAATTTATTTTGAAATATCAAATATAAACTATTAATAAACGTCAGATAGAAATTGAAATATTTCACAACATAAGTAAATAAAAACATGTTAAAAAATATCTTCCAAAGGCTAAGACATAATTAACCACTAACCATATATATAAATAGTGAATCGGATGTCGAGATTCTCGTGCCCACCCTGAATCGCCGCGCAGACTTGCTCAGAAACCTAAGCTGCAAGATCTCCACCGCCGTTGATTGACTGCGAGATTCAGACCCTCGATTCGAATCAGCCCGAGCCGCATGTTTTCGCCCAATCTACATCTTCAATAGAAATCCGCATGTCTTACTGGTTTGACGCCTGATAGAGGGGAGGACGGTGACGACAGGCGTTAAGAGATTGATTAAGAGAGGAGGTGTGTGTGTTGAAAGCCAAAAGAGAACCCGATCTTCAATTCGTCTCCGTTATTCACCTAATGAACCTCTAAATTAATGTAATTAATGTACAGAAATATTTTGGTCAAATATTGCGGCTATTATCTTTGTTAGTTGTATAATTTAAATTTGGTATATAATATAGTGACAAAACTTGCGCCTATTACCTTTATTAGTTGCATGGTTTAAATTTGGTATATAATATATTGAAAAAAAAGATTTTTATTTAAAATTAAAAATAAAAAAAATAATTATTCATAACGTACGGGTCAATATTAGCTTGTACGTAACGAAATAGTCAATTATTTGTAGTTTAATAAATTACTCAATAACTTACGGGTCAATATTAACTTGGACATAAACGAAATAATCAATTATTTATAGTTTAATAAATTATTCAACTACTTAATTTTTTTTATTTGAACTTCATACAAAAATAAATTTATTTTAATTAATGAAGTAATATAAATTTTATATTTATACTTATTATTCATATAAGTTGTTAAATATATGATAAAATTTACTAAAATAACTATTTTTAGGAATCGCATTATAGTTAAATTGAATTTCTGAATAAAAATTTTGAAATGACACTTATTTTGAAACAAATATAATGTGATTTATTATCACTTATGTGCACCGCATGAGTTATACTAATTTTAAATAGACTTTTTATGCAATTTTGCACAATTTAAACTTTATATAACATTTTCAATAAATTAATATAGATAAATATGTATTACATATTGATTTCATATTTTTAATTTATAAATATTATTTAATAAGAATTTTTAATTTATTAATATTAATGAATATTTCTTATTCGTGCACTGCACGAGATTCATACTAGTAATACTAGATATTATCCTATCTTATTTATTTATACAAATTATATCATATCCTATTTGATTTTATTTTCAAATATCACACTAATTATATATTTGTTCTTCTGATTTGTTTTTTACAATTTCCGTTTTCCCCCTTTTTTATTTACTTGCATGAGGGGTAAGTTCAATGATGGATCTAGAAATTCCAGTACTCAGGGTGACCCGATTTTAAATGTTATAACGAGCTTGTACTTTAAGTCAAAACGCTTATTTCATGTAAAAATGTATTTACTATAAATATGAATATCGATATGTGTACCATCAAGTTTTTAAAAACTTAGAATCCATATGACCGTCAAACTTATAAAAAAATGAGATTTCATATATTTATAATTTAAGTTCTGCATCTATTTTTTTTTTTCCCGAAACGATAGATAGTTTTATAAATCAAAATGCACAAATGTGCGAATACACAGCAGCCAACGGCTGAATACACAGCAGCCAACAGCTGAAAAAGTGGGAGGACAGGTCAGAAGCCCGCCTAGAATCCCGACTAGCAACGCTAGAATAAAAAACACACTCACAACTAAACTAACCAACAACACAAACAACTAGAACAACTACAAGGACCCCAACAGGGTAATACCCGAGTGTCGGACCCCCACGGAGTAATAAAATTGACACCCGGGCTCACAGACGGCCCAAACCAAAGACACATCCTAAAGCACAAAGACAAAAAACACAGATACAAAACACAAAACAAAGCAACAAATAACATAAAAATTAACAGCCCTCCCCCCGGCAAACGAGCAGTCCCCACCAGCAGTGACCGATCAATACAAGAAGGAGTCCCAGCCCGAGAAACAACTACCGAAACTGCGGTAAACCGCCTATACAAGTAGCCGAGACCGAGCCCCGGACCATTCCCCGAATCGACCCACCTCCAACCGAGAGAAAATTCAGCCAATCCCACCAGCCCAACCCGAACCCGTCTAACACCACTAGCCGAGCCCAAGAGGACCAAGTCCCCGGACCCCCGCCGCCGCCTAACACCCCTAGCCGGACAGAGGGGGTGGGGGAGAGATGGCTCGTTTCCTCAACCCCAGACAGAGTCCGGGGCCTCTTCCCACCTCAGACCACACACCACCGAAACCGCCGCTAACCCCGGCGACCAACAACCCACTCCGCCAGAGGCTCCGCCGGAAAAACAGAAACTCACGGAGGATAAGCCAAACGAAGCCAGAAACAGTGAGGAAGAGAGCTTACCGCCAACCATCGAAGGTCCGCCAGCAATCGGGAAGTAGGGCCACCCATTACCGACCGGAGTCCGACCAATTAGACAACACCTCCTCTCGCCATTCTGCCGTCGATTGAAGGCCGTTTCGCACCAAATCGCAGCAAATTCGGGACGCATAAGGTCCATAACGGGAGAAGCGGTTAGGGACGACCGCTGGTCGAACCCTACCGGCACCGAGGGAGGCAAATCGGCGGTAGATCTAAGCGGAGAGTTTCTCTGTTATTTCGCAGAGAGAGAAAAAAAGGGAGCGTTACAAATCAACAAGTTTTTTAAGTTCTGCATCTATACTTTATGGAAAAATATATTTTTTGGTTTAAAGGTTGATTTAAATTGAACTTTTGCAGCAAATTACATATCATTTTTGTTGATGAGAGCATATCAAATGAACATTTTTTGTAAGAAGAAAATAAAATAAATCTAAAAACATGTGATTACACAAAAAAAAGTAAAAAATAATATTAAAAAACATAACAATCCAACTAAATACTGAGTTTTATAAGTCACTAAATTGATTTACAATTAATAAATCAAAATAGTTATTCATTATTAATATTTTTAAAAATTTATCTAAAAATGTAAAATATTAGTTTTGTTATTATATTTTTCAATAAATAAATAATATTATTAATTTAAATTTAAGTAGCATAAAAAATAAGTATTAATTATTAATATATTGTAAATATTTTTTACATTTTTATGCATATTTTATATTATTTTCTTTATATATACATTTATTTATTTTTTTTTAAAAAAAATCAAAGGGCCCACAACCCCTCGGGCCTATCAATCTAGGGTAATATTTTCCTTATTTATATACTATAGTTGAGAAGAACGAAGGAAAAAAGAAAAAAAAAAAACATTATCATGGACGGCTTTAGGTTTAGTACCTGCGATAGGGAATGCATAGATCATCTCTTGGGGGGACGACTTTAGGTTTAGTCCCTGTGATAGGGAATGCATAGATCATCTCATGGACGGCTTTAGGTTTAGTCCCTGCGATAGGGAATGCATAGATCATCTCTTGGAGGGGACGGCTTTAGGTTTAGTCCCTGCGATAGGGAATGCATAGATCATCTCTTGGGTTCGTTCATCAAGTTTGTGTATTCTCTTGGGTTCGTCAAGGATCATCTCTTGGTTCGCCAAGTTTGTGTATGTTTTGTTTGTTCTAAGGTTTAACCTTTCTTTTTTCAAGTTTGTGTATGTTTTGTTTGTTCTAAGGTTTACCCTTTCTTTTTCTTTTTAAATAGCAAAGAAAAATATCGTTGGTATTTAAATATTTAAAAGTGCGTAGACTATTATTGGTATTCAAATATATTTAAATAGTTATAGTGTGGATAATGAATTATTTAAATTAGAAGGGTATGGGGAGATTTGGTTATGACCTTGTAAATAAATAGTTTGATAATTGTAAATAAATAGTTTGGTAAATATATAAAAATATACTTTAAATAATTGGGAAGACTTGTTAATCTGGGTGCTTACATATACATATACAGGGGTCATGTGGTAGTGATTAGCCGCCTTATAAAACTCTCTAGACAAACTAAGTAGTTAAGTAATATATTATATTTTTATGATATTCGAAAAATAATATAGATAGATTTAGAAATTCAGCATCAAATTTTAACTTCGTCGAAGGAAATCTCTTCTTCCCTCCCACGGCTTCATCTCCATAGCCGACCTCTACGGTCAAACGGAGCCTTGGGAGCTGTTTGAAGATTCACAGGTAAGACGGCGGCTGTGGTTATTTCTTCACCAAACTCAAGAAAGTCGGCGCCAAGAAGGGAAGGAGTTACCAGCGCTACTCGAAGGACGTCGGGGCCGGCGGGAATTGGTCGAACAAAGGCCAGAAATCCGACATCATCGGCCACGCCCGAACCTTCCGCTACCAGCCCAGAAACTCGGACGACGTGGGGCCCACGCGCGGCGAGTGGGCCCTGAAAGAGTACTCCTTTCCGGACTCCACGTCTCTCAGGGTTGACGATGACAGGCGGGACTACGTTCTGTGCGTCCTCAAGAAGAAGAAGGAGAAGACCCCAACAACTACAACTACTGTCCAGTTTATGTAGCATTTGTCCACGTATTCTCAACTACTGGTCCAGTTTATGTAGCATTTGTCCAGTTTATGTAGCATTGTCTGGAAAACAAAAATCATNAAAAAAAAAGAACTAACACCCCCAATGACCATAACTTTCGTGATCAAAGTCGAAAGAATTAACTCTATATCTATTATATATTACTACTACAGATTGTACATGTTTCAAATACCTGTCCCTCCACACTAAAACAACTAAAAGCCACCCAAAACTCTTGAGAGTTGTTCACCATGCCATCATCTCGATTTATGCTCACTTTCTCCAATTTGATGTCTACTTCTTTAAAACATCCGAAGGGATGTTGATGGCTGTGAAATGCAGCCAAAGATATGTTCTAACATGGGCTCAAAATAATTCATTCAACCAAAGAATAATCAATTGATACACCTCAGGTTACTAGGAAAGAAAAAATAATATCGCTGGAGTGGGTATATCTCATCCAAGCAAATGCAGGAGCTCACTAGCAGCAGTCTACTAAACCCCGACCTCAAACTTAAATTACCAACTATCTACTGCTTCTGAGAACATGAATATTGGACTTGCATTTTGTAGGTCACAAGCTTGCCTTTTCTAGATTGCATTGAAAACAAATACATGACGTGCACACACACACCACTGGACTCTTCACCGAAATAAAAATCCAAAATTACTGACTTGATCTTAGAGACGAGATCTTTCACATGGTACTAGTTCCTAAAATTGTTAAGGTTCTTAGAATTTACGTATCAAGATGAACAATTTGACATATAAATTGCGAAGACATACTGAGCGATCGGTGAGGTATCGATGGTCCGTGCAGTTGGAGAACAAGAAATAAAAGAAAGGCTGAAAGGCGAGAAATGAAAAACGGTTTCTTTAACCTTCTCATAAAATTAGATTGACTTGGGCCAATTTATTTGCTCCCTTGGCTAATTTAACCTTTAATGAAAAACGGTTTCTTTAACCTTCTCATAACAAGAAATCAGCTGAATACATAATTGGCTAATTTACCTACATCTATATCCTTTTGTATTTACCTTCTCATTTATTTTTTTGTTCTATTTTGTCCCGGTCCAGAATGATACCGGGACAGGTCAAATCCCGGACCATGCCCACCCATTATCAAAATAAACAGATAATGAAAACAAAATAAATGTTAATTGACATTCTAATCAACCAAAAATCACCAAATGCTGCTTCAAGAAAGCCGTAATCCCCCATTTCAATCCAATCCCTATCATTGCTATTTCTAATCCAACAAATTGTATAATAAAGCACACAATTTTAGCAAATCCATAATAGATACATGCCAGCTCAAGAAAAAGAATTGGGCAATATCTAAAAACAAAGACAAGCTCGACCCTTCTATCAACTAAAAGAAATAGCAAAAATTAATAAGTCCAGAAAGTAAAAAAGCATACTTTATTGCACATCAAAAGAAGCACATAAAAATGATACAATCCGTACCTGATACTGGAAATTACGAGCAGCTTCTTATAAACAGAGCTTGAAATTTCTCTAAACAGAGCTTTAAAATTCTGGAAATGGCTCCCCCTCTAGAACAAAGAATGGATAAATTAAAATGGGGAAATATATTTTTCTAATTCCGTTTATTTCATCTTATTTATTTTCGTTTAATTGTTTCAGTGAAAGAAATTTATGAATGGTTAGATACAAACTTTTGACATATATATATATATATATATCTATCACTGTATTTTTGTGTGATTGGTTGCGTTTTCAAGGTGAAATTAGGCATGTCAAAACGGGCTGGCCAACAACCAGCCAAAACCCGCTGTTTGGCGAGGCGCGCCTGTAAAAGGGCAGCCCGACCCAATCCCGCCACAGGCTAGNTGGATGAGTTGAACGTGATCGTTCATTATATAGAGGAAAATAAGAGGGCGTGAATCACAAGAAATAATAGTGTGATGTGAGCAAACGTGTTTGTCGGTCGGTCACCTAAAATAAACCTAAATTGTTTGTACTGATTCAATGAGAATAAAATCGGCACCAGCTAGTTTCTGGTAAGATGCCGAATATCCCCACCACATTCGGTATTGTGCAGCAGAAACGTTATGGGCATCGGGTGTGTACAATTTAACAACAAATACACAATAAACGACACGACGTGGGTTATTTATGAGAAAAAATAGCGGATAATATTCAACAAATATCATATAGAGGACCTACTTCAGGTCCCACCAGTTCGACTCGTAGGGAAAAGTTACACAGCAGAAAAATTTCATCCCTTTCCTATCATGTAGAGTCCAGTGTTGGTTATTGAAAAAAAAAAAGAAGTTTTACAAGGCAAGTGGCAAAATAGGGGCTATTAGAAGAGAGAAAAAAAAGGACTACTAACTACTGATCAGCATATTATGAGATAAAGACTCACATACAATGCGAACAACTGCACTAAAGAAATTTTTTTCCTTCCCAGAAACAACGATTTGCAACTTCCTGCTCTAAAAATTTTAGAGCATAAAAGTACAGCTAGTTTTCTAAATGCTAAAGTTCTTTTTGGAAACCCTCAACGTAGTTTCTTGTAAATGTAATTGTTCTTTAGAGAAGACAATAACCATTTGCATAATCTCCGAAACATAGAAATATTCTATATAGATAAACCTATCCTTGCATATTAAGAATGAGGGGCCCATTCCCCTTAATGAACTATCCAAGCAAGGCATCCCAAGTTAGACACTCCGAGATTATAAACCACAACATATTTAGCTGCATTACCTTTCAAAAGCATACTAAGAAAACAAACTAATTTTCACATTGATTGGGTCTAGAGGCTTCTGGACACTAATCTCAACATGCAATAGGAAGATCTCCATAGAAGAAGAATCAATCACAGAATATGAAAAGATACCCGTAAAAGTTAGCCAGTTGAAGATAACTCCAGTAAATTAATCGACATTATTTCAGTCTGAAGTTCGTAAACAGATTGCATATAGATCATAATTTGTGCTTCTGCAACATTTTATTAAAGCAAAGTTCTAGACAACAACATGCAACCTTGCCACACCTTTTTTCTGTACATTAAATTTCGATCACTAAGTCATCATCAGCTTAAAGCACAACAAAATGCAAACAAGATATGACTCAGTTGCTAATTCAAGGACTTTCAGTGGGAATTGTAACAAAAAAATGTAGAAATAGGGAGCAAATGGAAATGCGAAATGAGTGAGTGGGGTCATTCAGCTAGAAGCCATAGATAAGATCATAGCACTAACTGTTCTATATGCATACGAGATCACCTCAACAATTTTGTAATCAATTACCCAATTATGCATTATCAAGCATTGAGTACACTGTCTAGTTTATAAACAGATGAGTTTCTTGATATAATTATTATCTCAACTTATGCATCCATCTCCACTTTTCATGCTTTTGTTATTATAAACTGAAGCTACCCACAGAGCACATTTAAAACAGTTCTCCTTAACCTTCTCCCACATAATCCATTCAGAATAGAACCAGTAATCAGAAAACAGAAACACTGAAAAAAATAGGAGGAAAATTCCAAAGGGACACATCTATCAACTGAAGCACACAATTCAAGAAACACATACATACATATCAGTTCATTTCTCAATATTAACAGTGAGAATCCAGGGCATTTTTCACATAAGAAAAAAAAAAAGAAAAAAAAAAATGCATCATCACATATCGAAAAGAAGGCACAATCACGAGACCCAACACAACTGAAAGAACCCTAACAAGCATTCATCGAACAAACGCACCACTCTGCACAAAAATGCACCGTAAATCCTCAATTACGAGACGAGAAAAACAAAAATCCGAATTCAAGCAAGCAACAACTTTCCAAATTAACAGTGAAATCAACAGGACAATTAAAACATACCTGAGCACAACAAAAAATCCGAACAAAATCACAAAATCTCAGCTCCACTTTTCGGAAAATCCTCCAGATGCAACAAACCCAAGATGGAAAAGGTGATGAAAAGGTTCACTTTCGCGTCTGAGCTCCTACATCCCCACAGTTTTCTGGTCACAAGAGGAAATGTATTGTACGGAACTTCGAAGCGTCAAATCGCGAGGGCACACAATTCTTGCAGAGATGAATTTACGAGAGATGCCAAAAGACAGCAGAGGAAAAGTTTTGCTGTGAAAATTGTGTGAAGAGATTAGGTGGAAGAGTTTAATTTTCACCATTTTCACCTTTCCTCTCCGGGACTTCACTGCGCTTTCCCTTTTATCTAGTTTTCATAATATTCGGTATCGAGCAGGTAGATCGGAAATACTGTCGTCGTGCACGTAGTCGGAGGGCACGAACGATAAACAAAGAAGTCATATGAAGTCTGAAGAAGAAATTTGGTTCAGGTAACCTTCTGCTCAAGGTATTTTATTTAAGTAACCTTGACAAAATAAAAATTGGCCAAATAACCTTTGACCAAAGAAAAAACTTTTAAATAAAAAAGAAAAGGAAAAAATTATTATTATATCCTTATTTGTTTTTATTTGAGGTATATAAAATGAATTATAACATGACGAATATAAAACGGGATATAGAAATCCTGAAAAACAGATAGATGAGTTATTTAAATCTGTCCAACAACAATCTAAAGATTCTCCACAAAATTTAGAACTAATAGCAGTTAAAATAATCAATGATATTAAGTAATAAATTGCTAAATGTCCTTGTAAAGAGGAAAAAAAAAAAAAAGTAATTTTTGAAACATTTGTTTTTATAAATATGAACCTTTTAAAACGTTTAACTTTTACACTAAGAATACATATTTATTGTAAATTAACGTACTATTTATTTTTAAAGTTTATATAGTTTATAACATATTTATATTACCATATCTCGTGACATGATTAAAAAATTTATGTTCAAATATCAAACATAAACTATTAAGAATAATCATCTTTAGTAAATGGTTATTCTTAATATATATATAATAATAATAACCATTTACTAAAAATAGTAGTAAAAAATTTTAGGAGCGCTCCCATATACATGTTTTCAAATAAGATCAAATCAGATATAATAAAAAATATTGTTTCCTTAAATTTTATTAATATCTGCAATAATTACATTGATATCCATTATTATAAATTACAATATTGATTTTCCGTGATTCATCTTGATAATATTTTGGTCAAGATAAGATCTCCAGTCAGATATGACTAGGATAGAGATATGATCAAACCTCGGGCAGTTCGAGCAGGCTGATCGAGGGCAAAGGAAGAACTAGATCGCTCATTTACAAGGACGAACTCCCGTAAAAAAGGGGGTTAATACAAATGATCTTTGGTGGACCAACCAACAGGAATTCCAACAGGGCAAGAAACGCATACACTAGGAGGCCTATTGGGGAGATACAACAGGTCGCGGAGAGAGGACCAATATTTAATTTTGGACCAACTGACATAGGAGAGGTCGAGAGGCCACCTAACGATGCTTTAATAGTCACGACAGATGTCGCGGGGATATGAGGTTCAAAGGGTATTTGTGGATACAGAAAGTTAAGTGGATGTCATTTGTTATGATTGCTTCAAGAGAATGGCATTGAACGTCGTGCTCAAACCTTTGCACACAACTTTGTATGGGTTCAATGGGGCAGAGGTCGCTCCAATTGGAGAGGTAACACTACCAGTAGTGTTAGGACAAAGGTGACCTCAAGAAAGTAAAAATGATTAGGTTTGTGGTGGACGATGTGAAATAAGCTTATAATGTCATTTTGGGGAGGCCAACACTTAACACATTCCAAACAGTGGTAACGACTTACCACATGAAGTTGAAGTTCCCGGTAGGAGAAGCCAGGAGCGATCAGAAATTGTCGCGAGCTAACTTGCTACCATATAGCAGTACATGCGGGTCAACGAACTGAGGTCGAGCAGAAGTAGCCAGTGATTGGAGATAAAAGGAAACGAGCGACAACTTGGAGCCGCATGGAGAGTTGATGGAGATACAAATAAGAGAAGAACCAGATCAAACTACTAAGATTGGGAAGGAGCTACGGGAGGTCGACCCCTTGTTTAATCGAAATGACTTGAAAATGTTAGTTTGTGGAGATCATGGTTTGCCTACAAGACAACCAAAAAGTATTGTGAATAAAGAGGTGTTTAAAAATATGTTTTTATTCTAAGTTGATTAATATTTTTATTCAAGAAATTAATAATAATAATAATAATAATAATAATAATAATAATAATGTACAAATAGTCTTAAAATTGTTCACTTCATGCATCCCACGATCCGAGTCAATTATTTTGAATATGTACTTTTTGAGATTTGGTGTACTTCAAATAGAAGGTAAATTATTATATATTTAACTATGGTATTTTTTTCTATTCTCAAATAAATTGGTACATTATTACTATATTCCAATCAAATAAACAAGTGTAAAATATTGGACCATAAATTTAAAATAAAGTGTAGTTTATTTATTAAAAATAATTTGAAATTAACAAATGAGACTAAATATATCTTATAGAATAAAATGTGAAATATATAAATAATATTTGTTTTGGGTGAAAACTTGAAAGTACTATTTTTATATTTTTTGCCTCATATAGGTTTAAAAGAACATATGTGAAACTTGAGTGCAAAATTGAAGGTAGGTAATAATTTTGAGTTTCAAATATATAAAGTAAAAACGATAAACTATATAGTTCTCGGGCGAATTACTTGATAAACTATGACTCAAAATAACAATGATAATAACCTTTTTACTATTTGCAAAATATTAAATAATTAAATTATCAAATATCACATCCAAAAATTATAAAATTTTGTATTTTGAAATAATGCACAACGACATATATATTAATTAATCCCTTCTATATATAATTTCAGAATGTGCTGAGCCTACGTGGCAAATTTTCATGCTTCGGAATCCTATTTGGCAAAAAATTATGCTTTGATTAAATAAGTTTTCCTCTTTTTTTATTTGGCAAAACTATTTGGCAAATTTTTCCTTTTTTTTTATTTACTTGAATAAGAGGTAATTCTAGGTTAAATAATAAATACTTGATTAATAAAGGTGGCAATTTCATCAATAGTTTATATATTCTAGGTTATATAGTTGAGAAACCAATANTCGATCATGCGCTTTAGTCCGCGGGATTGTGATTGCATCGAATACCTCCAGGGTTTCATCGCAGGGAATCCTCTTCCCTCCCACGGCTTCATCTCCATAGCCGACATCTACGGCCAAACGGAGCCTTGGGAGCTGTCCGCAGATTCCCAGGTAAAAGACGGCGGCTGTCGTTATTTCTTCACCAAACTCAAGAAAGTCGGCGCCAAGAAAGGAAGGAGTTACCAGCGCTACTCGAGGAACGTTGGGTGCGGCGGGCATTGGTCGAACAAAGGGCAGAAATCCGACATCATCGGCCACGCTCGAACTTTCCGCTACCAGCCTAGAAACTCGGACGACGTGGGACCCACGCACGGCGAGTGGGCCCTGAAGGAGTACTCCCATCCGGGATCCACATCTCTCAGGGTTGACGAGGACAGGCGGGACTACGTTCTGTGCGTACTGAAGAAGAAGAAGGAGAAGACCACAACAACTAAAACTACAGGACGTGGTGTTGTCCAAGCCGTCGAAGCAGATCTGGGCTACCTAAGGGCCACGCTGGCACCCACGTCACCGGGCAAGGGTCATGTGGGGTCGCTTGACTATCCAACAACAGGTGGGCAAGTGGTGTGGCCGTCGGATATCGAGAGGTGGCTGAATGATGATGAGGTTTTGGAGGGCGATTCTTTTGACTCGAGTGACGTGGATAATTGGTTGCATGCGAATGGGTTCCATTGGTCGAGTGATTTGCCCATAATTGCTAGCTAGCTAGATGATATATATATCCGGGACAATACCGTTTGATATCTAGTCTTATTGTATTTTTCGATTATTGGGGTACTCTTTTTCCCGGTCGGAGGTTTTTCCCACACGGGTTTTACTTTGACCGGGTTATAACGAGGCCCCACTTTGCGCCAGCTGGCCGGCGAGTTGTGGCCAGACCCTTCTTGTAAAAAGAGCAAGGGGGAATGAATATGTATTCTTAATTGTTCATAATAGTAGAAAAGTGAATTCAATTTTTTTTTTCTATTATTATTATTATGCTATTTGAGCCAATTTCACAATCAAATTCATTCTGGTGTTCATTGATCAACATTTCAAAACATGTGCATTGTTACATAAGAATCAAACACGTCGTAAGGTTTACTCGATTTTCGGTACGAATTCACCTAATCGCAACAGCTATATATAATAAGACAATGAACGTCGTTTAGCGACAATCGAACGAAAACCAAAAGATCGACCAGAAAAAGAAAAAGGCTCTTATATCACAATCGCCCCAATGGTTATAGTGCTGCTATAGCAGAAGTAGGGACAATCAATTATTTCTCCAGTTTACTTTTTAGGTCAGTCTTTTGTCTTTCGTAGAAACATGGCTCCAGTTTTCGACTACTTTGAGTTCATTACATGCATCCGTCAATCAAATATGACTATTTTTACAAATGTTTATTGAAATTATCATGATGAAATTATTATCATCAATTTATTTATACACATTTTAGTTTATTAAACTCTTGGTACTTTTAGTTATTGATTATACTNTTGGAGCATGTAGCTTCAATCCCTCTTCCTGCTCTTAGATTGCCGCTTTTTTTTTTTCCTTGAAGGGACTCTAGTTCCTATTAATAATTCGCCGGGAAGTATGTGTTGAGTCATTAAAGGCTGTGGCCAGCACAAGAAGAAAAAAGAAAAAAATGGACAGCAGGCCACGTTTCTTAAAAAATTGTAGCATGAGCCCGATTGTTTTTGTTGAAAAAATGCAGCAGCCTTCTGTTGAAAAATATGTGCAATCCCCATCTATAAATAGAGGGAAAAATGATGAAGCAAAGGCACCACAACGAAAAAAAAAATACAACACACCAAGACAGATGAAAAAAGGAGAGAAAAAGGGTGTGAGCAAGAAAGCAAGAATTTAGCTTTTGTGTGTATTTGAGTTGTGAGTTGTGAGTGAGTTTGAGATTGTTTTGTAAACACGACTATAATATTTCTTCCAAACAAAATATCTGCAGTAGTCCGGAGACGTAGGCATTATTGGCCGAACTCCGTTATCAAATTGGTGTGTCCAATTTTTATTTTTTATTTCACTTTTATAGATCCGACTTCGTGAAAAATTCAGCGTATTTTTCCCAACAGTATGGAATTGGAGTACCACAGTGCCTTTGTTTCATGATATTTCTAAAATAATTTTTATGCGTTTGGTGTTGTTCTGAACAATTGTCCAGATAAGATTCCTATGATTGAGATTTAATACAATTCAAACCTTTTTTTTTGTATGAAAGAATATTAATGTGTATCCAAGTCTGACTTCGAAACATGATTTTCTTTGTCACATAGGATTCCAAAGCGTGCGAGTCTGCTATTTAGGCTCAACGCATTCAAAAATTATAAATAGAAGGATATAATGTGAGGAGATAACAAATTCCATTCATTGGTAAAATAGCAAGAGCTTTCAAACAATGCAACATAAAAATATGGAAACAAGGATCAATTAGCTCTATGCATTCTTTAGTAATGCACAAGCCTTTTCATGTAATGTATTCCAAGCATCGAGCACGTGCCTCTCCTCCGTCAAAGGCGCCCCAACTACAAATCTCAGCACATACATGTTTGACAGTACCTAAACCATTTTAAGCTTAAGTCAGAAGAACTATAAATCGGTCCAAAGAAAACAAGTAAATCTCTTTCCTCTGTTTCCTTACCATGTTTGTTTCTTGGGATGATTGATCATCATATATAGTACATTGGCGATAACAAAAAGTATCCTGTAAGTTTGATATGATCACCAAGAAACACATGGAACTTTTCTTACGAAAATGCTCGTGGAACTATATATGATTAGTGTCAATAAGATTGTGAATTTCATTGTGTAAGTTGTTTAAATGTAGTTGGATGTTCCTTCTTATACATGCTTATATGGGGGGTAAATGCAAGAAAACTAAAATTTCAAGGGCATCTTTTGCAAATTTCAAAGTGAGCTGTGGTTTTGTTTTGTATTGACATCAACTATTAGGGGACCTCGGTAATTAAACACAATATCCGAAGAAAAACAAACGTAAAATATAACTTTGAGCATACCGTGTGAGAAATGAAGAGCTTCCCGGTTGAGTTCACATCATCTAGTAGCTGTTGGTTCAATTTGTTGGCTCGTTCGATATTGTTTTCTTCAGGCAACAAGCGAAAACAAACTAAGGAGAAATTACGAGGGGCGACAACCTGCAAGTTCAGTTAAAGCTTTATTTCGAAGATCTTTTGAATTTCCCAGTCATTTCAGAACTTATAAGATATAAGATATTAGCTTAAAAATAAGTAGTTGTTAGTATAAGGAATATATTATAGTGGATCTTCTTCCTTTCTGAAAACAAGTTATAAGTTGAATAACTTTGTTTAGGAACTATATAGTAGAACACATTTACCAAAACACAAATTCAAAGAGATCTTATAAGCTCAAGCAAAGAAACTCTCATTCACGAGGTAAAATTATTGTGTGATAGATTTAACCGGCAAACATGTGTGCTATTATGTTCTTGAGTTATGCAAACAAAGGAATTTACCTCAAATTTCGGGTCTTGCTTGACAAGTCCTTCAAAAGTCTTAGCCAACTCAACGTGGTTTCTTATGTAGGCCTGCAAATTTTCCAGCCCATAAAGTCTCAACACCATCCAAAGTTTCAAAGACCTGTAAACAAAGACAACAGAATTATTTTTATTTTTTTCGTTTTTCTTTTGGTTTCAATTGAATTAGTCCTTCACCGTTTTTTCTTTCTTTGAAATTGGCTTTCTGTAGACAACACACCTGAACCTGCGACCTAACGGGATCTGCCAGTCTTTGTAATCCACAACCAAGTTTTCTTGAGAAGCCTGAATAAAAATCATATTCTGACAAATGAAAATAATTTTTTTACCATGTATTCCGTAATGTGAAAAAACATCTTTCAAAGAGTGCAGACTACTCTATTCAGCAGAACTGTTAACATTTACTCTTTTGAAAAAGTTTTGGGAAGCTAAAAATAAGTGTTTGAACTTTCATGCTCTTCTCATAAATGAAAATTGGACTTAAATGTCAACTAAAGCGTAAAAATATCCCTTACTCAGTTAATAATTGGGCACTGACATCGATTTTTCCTGTACTTTGGAAAACACTGAAAGGAATGCAATGCCGATTTTATCACCAAAAATATATATTACTCACTTTGTTTCTAAGATACTCAGGATTCGTTGATAATGATTCGATAAGCGCACTTCTCTCCTGTCGACAATCAATGCTCATTAGTTTTTCCTCAGATAATAGAAATGATATTAAATAACGAATCCACATGACATGAAACAACTTCTTGACGAAAATTACAAGTAAAAAATAAATTATTGTAGAATTGGATTTGGAGTAATGTGACTTATGTTTTTGCTCTTTTGTAGACTTGTCTAAAAGTTTTCTTAAACATAACTTCCACAAGCATTAACTTTATGCAAATGGACTTTTGACTATAAAAATTAAAAAGTCCATGTCAAAAGTGTTGCAAAACAAGCTATTGTATATTCATCAATATACCTTCACCCAAAGAGGCGAACAGTCAAAGTTGGTCAAAAACCATTTGTGCGCGTTCATGTTAAACGAGCTGGTTTCCTCTACACCATCAATATAGTGTCGAAATTCTGGGCAGATACAAGCACTTCCAGCATAAGCAGCATCAACATGAAACCACACTCCATGACTCTGTACATTTTCAGAAGTGCCTTTATCCACTCGATTTTTAGTTAAAATTAGGCTACAAATACTAATGGGAATAAAAGCATGAAAACCATCAAGACATATTTAGAACCGAATGAAGAAAAACAAAGGCCGCTTTGTAAGACAAAGTTTTGGTAATCATCAGTAGATGATATCTATATCTGTGTTACATAAAACGAGCCCTTTACTTACAGGCATTCAATTAAACATTGATATAATAGAAACAGGAAAAAAAAATGTGTTTAGAAATACTACTGAAGTTCGAAATAGCTATAAATATGGAACTGGACAGAGAAATACCATGATTGATGACCTCTTAATGCTTGAAAAAGACCTCTTAATGCATGAAAAAAAACTCACACTTGTTATCTTCCCCAGATCACGAAGAGGATCCACAGCAGCTGATGATGTAGTCCCAACCTAAAGTATGTGAAGCAACCTATTTGGTTAACAATTTATATAAATCTTCCTAATTTATGCAGAAATGATAAAAATAAAATTGCCTGGAGCTACACGAGAATGGAAATTACGAATGGCATGAAGAATGTCCCAAGAGTTATGAATTGAAGTTGTCTAGTCAGGCAGACTTTTTTTTAAAAAACTTTTTAAACGCAAGTATCGATTTCATATTATTATTTTATTTTATTGTCTTTTAAATCCAATGTATATGATACGGTTCAGTTAACTAAATGAAACTCCCAGATAATTACAAAAAACAATCCAAGCAGAGCAACCATAGGGACCAATTGACTAATAACTCTCTCTCTCTCTCTTTTTTTTTTTTTTTTTTNTTTCCTTATATTACACAATTTAAATAGTTTCCTTACAGAAGCACTCAAGAAGAAGGGAATTAAACCCGAGTTTATGTCCCGTGAAATCGCTTCTTCAAGCGACTCAGGAGAGAGAGCATATTCAGTGGATGAATCCGTTTTCAGCACACGTAAATTTTCAGGATGGATTCCTGCTATCTGCCACACATGAAAAAGAATAATCAAACTATTGATTATGATTCTACACGAAATTTAAAGATATACCTTGCATGCTTTATGTAGAGACGAATGAGTTTGATCTGAACCATAGGCCACGAGCTTTCCAATTGCATCTTTCCCAGCCCATTTCAAGATTTTGTCTCGAGCAGCCAAAAGCACTACCAAAACTGCTTCACTTGCAGTTCCCTGTATTATGCCGCCACCTTGTCCTGAAACTCGACTCTCCCAATCTTGAATAGATAAATAAAGAACAATAGAGACTATCTATGGTTCAACTATACAAAAGCTTTGGAAGTAGTAAAGAAAAACAATACCTGTTGAAAGGAATTGATCAGGTAGCTTAAGAGCCTTAGCAAGCCAATCTAACACTATCATTTCAAGTTCTGTGGCTGCAGGTGATGTTATCCAGCTAAAACCCACCATGTTTATGCCAGCACTAAGCATTTCCCCTAAAAACCCAGCTACACTGCTATTGCACGGAAAATATGCAAAATAATCCGGGCTTTGCCAATGGGTTACTCCTGGTAATATTTTCGACTGAACATCTGAAAGATATATAACAACACAAAGCAAATATTGCCTCTTGTCAGTATTATACTCGCAGTTAATGAGTTAATTAGTGTTCATATTGAATTTTGAGGCCATCTTATTTTACTATAAAGGATCTTTTACCATCCAAAACATTTTGAAAGGTTTCAGGTTGAGCTGGCGCCGAATCTGGTAGAAGCTCGCGTAGATATCCCGGCTACAAGAATGAGATATTAATGACAAGAACAATAATAAATTTAAACAGCAGCCTTGTTTAAAATAACATCAACATGTGAAATACCTGAACTTGACTAAGAACAGGGAAGTTTTCAATGTTCTTGTAATAATCGGCAATGAAGTCCACCATCTTATGAGCAGACTCCCTTAATTGTTCAGAGTCCATTGGTTTCAAGTTACCCTCCCTAGCTCACATTAAGATATGTATATATAACCATCCTTTTTACGCAAGTATCGCATTTAAATCCACATGTTGAACTATTTCGAGAAAACATGAGAACCAGCAACTTCAAGTACATGAAAGAGGATAGTAATTCAAGTCTGCAGATAAGCCGTTTCAAAAAATTTGCAGAATTATATTTTTCATTTACATAACATAAAGATCTCAT